CTCACGAAAGTGCGCCATCCAGCTCTCATGTTGAAAAGACACTATAAAACGCACTTTCACATGAGGGCGCAATAAAAGTATCTTTGTTTATATTACTTTTCGAAGTACATTTAAAGGTAACAAAAAAATTCAAGGGGACAGGTTAAAATTTTGCCTTGTTTATAAGCAGATTTTGAGTTAAGCAGGGTTGTATATCATAGTTATAATACTGAAGGGAATGGATTCTTTGTTTGACTTAACAAATGTTTTGAGTTATCAGAGTTTGCCTTATCGAGATGTCTCAGTACATTTGTTTTGACATTCAAAATGCTTCATGCTGGTCCTGCCAATTGAGGGCGCCGTTACTGTGATGTCACCTCAGGGCATAAACCAGGCAAGTCGAAACTAATGTGCAAATAAAGTGATATTTAACACAAGTTTGAATTTCCATATTCATGCACATTTCATATTCATGCACATTGGTCTCGGGCATGGAACTCGTGGTCTGCAGTTTATTCTGCAGGTTTTGGGTTCGAGTCCAGCCTGGGGTATGGTGCGTGCGGCCTTAGGCAGGGCATTTTGTCACTCATTGATTCTCCCCACCCAGGAGCAAATGGGTACCTGTGGTTATTGTGATTGATTGCAGCTGCTTTACGCTGATATTGCTGCATCGAGCAACATACTCCCCAGGGAGCTGATTTGGTATGTTTAATTGGCCCAATGATCAGACTCACAGGTAATAATGATGTAAAACACTTTAATCTTAGTTAAAGCACTATACAAGAACCCGTTATATTATCATTCAAACGGCAACTAATTTAGAAAATTCAACACAACACTTGGTTTTGCCTTTTCACTGCTGTTTTTTCATAAGCACTGGTAAACTCGGAGATATCGGAGTAATAATTTTTAGAAATCACTTAAAAACACAGTGTTTCTCTCACCCCCCCCCCCCGAGCTGATATTCCCCTGTTTAAAACCTTTACCTGTTATCTCTCTTTCGGCCAGGTTCACGGCAAAACTGCACTATGCACTGCGTAACGACGAATCCTCATCATGTCTTGTAAAGTTCCATCTCCATTCTACCTCTACCAGACGTGGTGAGTTGACTTCATCCGAATAACTTTTTTTTTCAGAGGAAACACATTATCAAGACTGCACACAGATCGAAGAAGGGAAGAAAAAGGCACGGGAAAAATCACTAAATCCTAGACGTATATACTGCAAGTGCAACGGCCAAGTTGAATACTTCCGCATACCGATGTTAGAATTCAATTGTAATGCTAATGTCGTTTAACAATAGGGGCAACGTCACTCGTGTGTATGCCCACCTTTCAACTAGACTGGTTCCCATGCTCTCCTTTGTCGATTTTGACCTTCAACAGAGCGGGAACCAGTCTATACCTGTCACCTCGTTACCGCAGCGGTCAAACAGAGTCAATGACATTGATTATTGCACAGACGTAGCTCCAGAGTGCAGACCTATTTACAGGCATGCAACTGGAAAGTCCCCCAAAAGAGGAAATTCCAATCTTTCCAAGACTTTGTACAGTGTTTCTCTATTTTTAAAGACACACATGGGAGGTCAAAAAAGAGGAAATCAGCTGATCTGAGGAAAAGTTTGCATGCCTGAATACATAGGCCCAGACTTGCCCCTCCAGACCCAATCACAATTTGTATGCTCTAAAAATTCATTTTGTGGGCCATGAACGTGAAGGTTTAAAAATAAAAATATTGGTGGAAGCCGTGCAGAAACTAGGAGTTTAATTTCGTATTTCTGTGAAATTCGCATGAAATTGGGCCCTGAAATTTTTACCATTTTGCAAAGGAGCGCAGGCATCATTTTTCAAAACGGCGATGGGCCAAAGGACTACTTTTTAGGTTGATCGTCTTTGGATGGAATTGAAAGATTATGAAATAAGCATTAATTTCCTGGGTGTCTCAAACACCTTGAAGAGTTTTGAGTATTTTTAATAGTTTTCGAAAGTACGCGTAATTATTACTGAGGTCTATGGGAGTCGATTTGCAGGTCTGCTACCCTCAGGTCTCATAGTCGGTATAATTATTGTCGTTTATAAGTGAAAACTTCTGCCAATTTTGGGGGACAGCAATAAATCACAGTAATGAACAGCGTATTTTAACTTGTAAAACGCCGATTATGAACACATATCATCCAATCAAGTTTCCGCTCTGATGTAAACGATGTCAAATCAAAACTCTTCATATGGATGGAGGGTTACGAAAAAAATATTAATATTGACAATTTATCAGTATAACCAGAAATGAACACGCAAAATACTTTACTACAAAAGGTTCGAACACCTTCACTTCAACAGCCTAATACTATATAAATAAGCATGATGACAAAAACGTGAGCGCAGTACGTTAAAACTTTATTTCGTTACTAAAACATATGTTCGTCAAATGATTAAAGCATAATGAAACATGTTGTAACAACAACTCCCAGATTCTTGGGACTCCGAGATAAACAACCCGGCGTGGCAACTCAAAAAACTCACAATCTAGTCAAATGAAAATCAACTACAGTCTTGATGATTTTCTGTTAACATTATAGACCGCTTTTCCACTCTGCTTTTCGCATCTGATATAAAGGGAAAAGGAATAAATATTTCCCATTATGAAAAAAAAAAATGTTACAAATAATACACCTGCTAAAGTACATTTCTTTTGTGTTTTGTCTATACATAATTATACACTTCAACTCAATAAACCCAGTATTTCACTTTAATAACTTTAAAACATAGATGGAATAAACTGGCATTCACATGACTAGTTTTAAAGCGAACAGCGATTGATTACAAAAATATTTCAAACTTCTTTTAAGAATGAAATATGATCACTATAATTATAAACTAACCCAGTGATATACGATAAAACAATATTAAGTCGGGTAGGAGTAGCCGGGCTTACCGAAAGATAGCGATATACATGTATTCATACAATATTTTATGTTAATCAACCACTCAGAAAGCAACACTTTACACACTGACACAGCTGTCGAGAAATCTTTGTAGAAACTTCTTAACTCGCAATATCTTCAAACTCAAATTAAGTTTCTCTTCAATATCGATGTATAAAAAACTCTGGCCTTGACCAAACAAAATCTGACGTTTTATGAAGTAAAAACGAGACATCGCAGTGACATAATATGCACTTACCAATAACAATTGGTCACTTTAACAGTTAATAAAAATCAGAGAACAAATTTGGTATCATCAGTATTTAAAATCTAATATCAAGTAGAATTATTATGGCGACTGTGAGCTAAGTGTAGTCATACGTTATGCTTGACATGCGCATCAGCAGGACTTCCTAAAAGAATCGCTGCAATATGGTTATACTGTCTATAACAGTTGACTTATAATACATGTAAGACCAACTGTATTAATCAGGTGACCTCTCAAACAATCAATTAAATGCATATTTTGATTTGGATGTAAGCATTAAAATCAACGACAGAATCAGCCACATACAACAAATTTACATTTACAGTTACTATAACTAGTTACTAGTTACTATTATACAGTTATTATAAGCCTTTGGTATGCCATAGTATGAAACGTATAGAAAATGCACACTTTCAGATTTCAGTTCGATTTCTCTTATACAAGGTTGGGTTAAGCAAAGATATGTACAAGTTATATACAGTTAAAATACAGGTTATAAAATTTATTTACAGGCATGGCACATCCTCAAATTTAAATTTGTCTAATTGATTGCATGTCATACTCTCATTGTTCCACAGATTAATATTCTCATATATTCCATACTGAGAACATTCTTTACCAGGCTTACAAAAAATAATTCTTAAACAGCAAAATAACCCGGTGAGTGTATATAGACATACATTGCATACGCAAATAATTAGCTGAAAATATTTCTTTTGGGCTGTTTACCAATTAACCTATTCATACAGCCGCAGTCTCTTTTCACTGTTACTGTATCTTAGTTTAATGAGATGATGTCGTTCGAGACAGTATACGTGAAATCAAAAATATTATTACAATCATTATTATTTATTTTCAGAATTTCTGAATTTAGTAATTAATTATCTCATGTTTCACATTTTTGGCAAGCAACAGAACCGATGTTAAGCTGTCCTCGATTCTATTACGATGTCATTTACGCTGAGCCTTCATTGTAACTCTCAATTACAGTGAAATTAAATTGTCACAATTTCGATGTGCGTTGGATATTAATTGCTATCAATCTGTGAAGCAGGTACACAAATAATTCGACCCGTATAAAAAGGAGAGCAGAGAATGCTTACGATCTCCTTCCCAAGAATTATCAGAGGTCTACTTGTCTTTGTTACACACAGAGGATTGTTCAGGAGACAGTGTTGAATGATATACACTCCATGTGTCTGTATAATGTGTTCAGAGCCATACATTCTTTCACGACCTCCACACGGCCCCTACCTACATTCCAACCATTTTATTTGAGCTCCAAAACAAAAAAAACTGTAGAAACTCCGTTACCACAAATACTTCATCCGTGGATGGCGGGCTGCGATATTTTGACTTGTGAAGTTCAAGGTTGCTGCTATTATTCAGCAACCAAATGATACATTCTCAGAAATTTTATTTATCGAATATACATGTATTTTGTAAGCGCTATTTATGAAATTCGTACAATTATTAAAAAGGAGAAGCGTTACATTTCAGTTTACCGTGAATTTCACTAACCGCTTATTGACATCAATCAGAATACCCGCCTATTACAAAAGTTGTGTACCTATTAGTTATTGCTATATATATTCGGTCGAATGATTTTGAAAAAAAATGATTCAGTTTACAGCATGTTCCTCCCCCCCCCTCCCCCCCAGTCATGCTTCGATGTTATTCATGGCTTTCGAACAAGATGTCTGAATTCAATCAATATAGAAAGCCTCGTTCCCTGCGTTTGGTTGATGGCGTTTGGGCAAGTGACGTGAAACTTTTGACCTTGCTTGTGGATAGGAGCACAACTCGATCCAACTGCAAGACCATACTCGTGACTTAGAGACTGACTCGATCCAAATGATCAAACTCGTGCTCGCTCATCTTGTACTCATCTTCATCAGAAGAAGGGTCCTCTTCAGAGGAAGAGTCCTCATCAGGAGAAGAGTCCTCTTCAGAAGAAGAGCTCTCTTCAGAAGATCTAAGGACCTCTTCAGAAGAAGAGTCCTCTTCAGAAGAAAGATTTTCATCAGAAGAAGAGTCCTCTTCAAAAAAAAGGTCCTCTGCAGAAGAAAAGTCACTCCCCCATTCGTCATTGAACTCAAAATCCACTCCACTTCCCCATGACTCAGATATGTGTTTCTTATCTTCTTCTGTGAGCGCACATCCGCCCAATTTTAGGCTACTGACATGTTTCATTTGTGTCAGACTGGGAGCCCACGTTTTTGCAAATCCACTCAATGAATGATTTCCCACAAGGCTGAGGGATTGTACTCTTGACATTCCACTTAGTGCTGTAGCAATGGGTTCAATGTCAGTACTCTTCAATGAGCAATGAGTTAATCTTATTTCTGTCAGGCGCGTCAGGTTATGTAATGGTATGGTCCATAAATCTGTGGAACCAACCAGACCATCAATGTGATCAAGGCTCAAACTGACTAAATCTCTGCGATAACTGAATGACTGTAAAATATCCGCCATATCCTCACCGGTTAATGAGTACCTCTTAATGCTCAGTCCTATGCCATTATCGAGTGGTTTTACATGATTCTCTGTCTCAAAAAATCTACTGAAATTACAATCCACCAGATTCTCAAGGCGACTTACTGATTCAGCGATATATTTCACTTTGCGACTGTTAATGTTACAACCACGCATATCAAGCTTCTTTATGTGAATCATAGACAACAAACTAGCCGCCCACGTTTCTGCGTTACCACCCAATCCCTCATTGAACGAAAGATGAAGATCGGCCAAGTGGGGCATCTCCCCAACTGATGCTGCAATATGTGGTATATCTTGTTTACTTATGCCGCATGATGTTAACCCGAGTGATTTCAGGTGAATCATCGACTGCAAGCTAGCTGCCCACGTTTCTGCGTTACCACCCAATCCCTCATTGAACGAAAGATGAAGATCGGCCAAGTGGGGCATCTCCCCAACTGATGATGCAATATGTGGTATATCTTGTTTACTTATGCCGCATGATGTTAACCAGAGTGATTTCAGGTGTATCATCGACTGCAAGCTAGCTGCCCATGTTCCTGCGTTACCACCAAATCCATCATTGAATGAAAGGTCGAGATCGGTCAGGTTTGGTATTTGACCAGCAATGTGTTCAATGTCAGTGCTTTGCAGATAGCAATCTATTCCATTCAACTTCCGAAGTCCCGTCAGTTTTTGAAAGGGTGGTATCCAGATATCCGCGGAACCACCCAGACCATTAATGCGATCAAGGATCAAACTGACTAATTCTCTCCTATTACTGAATGACTGTAAAATATCCGCCATGTCCTCACCGGTTAGTGAGGACCTCTTAATGCTCAGTTGTATGCCATCATCGCATGTTTTTACGGAGAACCTACCAACATCACAATCCACAAGATTCCCTATGCAACTGACTGATTTAGCGAGACATTTTACATCCCGACTGTCTAAGTCACAACCCCTCATTTTGAGCTTTTCCAGGTGAATCATCGACTGTAAACTAGCCGCCCACGTTCCTGCGTTACCACCCAATCCCTTATTGTTTGAAAGGTTAAGATCGGTCAGGTTTGGTATTTGACCAGCAATGTGTTCAATGTCAGAACTTTGCAGTGAACAACGTCTTAAATTCAACTTCCGAAGTTTCGTCATGTTTTGTAAGGGTGGAGCCCAGATATCTGCGGAACCACCAAAACCATGAATGCCATCAACGATCAAACTGACTAAATTTCTCCATTTACCGAATGACTGTAAAATATCCGCCATATCCTCAACGGTTAATGAGGACATGTTAATGCTCAGTTGTATGCCATCATAGCGTGAATGTACAGATAAACTACCAAAATCACAATCCACCAGATTCCCCATGCGACTGACTGATTGAGCGACGCATTTTACATCCCGATTGTCTAAGTCACAATCTCTCATTTTGAGCTTTTTTAGGTGAATCATCGACTGCAAACTAGCCGCCCACGTTCCTGCGTTGCCATTCAGGTTCGAATTCTGTAAAAGGATCAAACTGACTAAATCTCTCCGAGTACTGAATGAATGTAACATATCCGCCATATCCTCAACGGTTAATGAGGACATCTTAATGCTCAGTTGTATGCCATCATCGCATGGCTGTACAGAGAAACTACCAAAATCACAGTCCACGAGATTCACCATGCGACTGACTGATTGAGCGACGCATTTTACATCATGACTGTTTAAGTCACAATCTCTCATTTTGAGCTTTTTCAGGTAAGTCATCGACTGCAAACTAGCCACCCACGTTCCTGCGTTACCACCCAGGTCCGGATTCTTTGAAATGTCAAGATCAACCAAGCTTGGTATTTGACTTAATGCTTCAGCAGGGTTTTCCATGTCAATCCTCTGCAATGAGAAATCTCTCAAACCCAACTCACAAAGTTCCGTCCGGTTTGGTAAGGTCGGGGGCCATATTTTCTGGGAACCACCAGGACCATGAATGCCATCAAGGATCAAACTGACTAAATCTCCCCGATTACTGAATGACTGTAAAATATCCACCATATCCTTGCCGGTTAGTGAGGAGCTCTGAATGCTCAGTTGTATGCCATCATCGCATGGCTGTACAGAGAAAATACCAACATCACAATCAACCAGATTCCCCATGCAACTTACTAATTGAGCGACGCAATTTACATCGCGACTGTTTAAGTCACAATCTGTCATTTTGAGCTTTTTCAGGTGAATCATCTTCTTCAAACTAGCCGCCCAAGTTCCTGCATTACCACCCAAGTTCGAATTCTTTAAAAGGTTAAGATCAGTTAATCTTGGTATTTGACCTAACGCTGCTGCAGGGTCTTTAATGTCAGTGCTTTGCAGTGAGAAATCTGTGAAATCATAGTCACAAAGTTCCGTCAGGTCTTTTAAGGGTGGGGGCAAGATACCTGCGGAACCACCCAGACCATGAGTGCCAACAAGGATCAAACTAACTAAATCTTCCCGATCACTGAATGACTGTAAAATATCCGTCATATCCTCGCCGGTTAGTGAGAAGCCCTTAATGCTCAGTTGTATGCCATCATCGCATGGCTGTACAGAAAAACTACCGAAATTACAATCCACGAGATTCCCCATGCGACTGACTGACTGAGCAACATATTTCATATCTCGAATGTCACAATCACTCATTTCGAGCTTCTTTAGATGAATCATTGACTGCAAACTAGGCGCCCACGTTTCGGCGTTACCACACAATCCATTATTGTCTGAAAGGTTAAGATCAGCCAGGTTTTGCATTTCGCCAACCCCTGATGCAATATGTGGTATGTCTTGTTCATTTATGTTGCATGATTTCAAATCAAGAGATTTTAAATGACTCATCGAATGTAAACTATACGCCCACGTATCTGCGTTATCACCTAAGTCTACATTGTATGATAGATCAAGAACGGCTAGGTTTGGCATCTTTCCAACCAATGATGCAATGTCGATTACATCGCGCGGTTTAAAGCCACATTCCACTAAACGGAGTGTTTTGAGGACTGCCCAGTCTTTGGCAGTCAAGTCACCTGCATTCTGATATGATGATAAAAGCTGGTAAACATTGCTACCACTTAGTGTGCATGAATCAAAACGCAATTCGTGCAGATTTTTTATTGCGGTCAAACGTGAAGCAAGGACATTACTCAAACTTGACAGGTCACACCTAGAAAATTTAACGCGACATACTGCATTGAGGTAATCCACTTCCAAGAGCTCTGTCTGCTCGGCCACATGCTGCATCAACCACACGAGAGAGTTCATTGAGTCGTTGCTATAGCTATCTATCTGCATAGATTCAGTGAAAAACGATTCAATGAAATCGTTTGATAACAAATCTGATGATTGACTTTCAAAGTAGCAACTTAGGGCCAATTTCTTCACTCCATCGTGATCTGGATTTTCGTGCAGCATCTGAAGTATACGAATTGCACATTGTTGATTGTCACCGCAGCAGAAGCGAAACACGTACTCAAAATTCATAGGATCCCGAATTTTATCGAGAATCTTCTGAAAGTTCCCATCGCCTTTGCTTAAAAGACTCTGACAGTACATAGCTGCGCAGTACTCTTGAATTGTCTTATGAATAAACTGCACGTTGTTGTGTTTTTCAAGCCACTTCATGACCCTCTTACTAGTGAGATTACCCGCTTGTAACGCTTTGTTAAGTACACTCTTCTCAAACTCTCCCTCTTGAAATGTAAGTCTCTGCTCTGGAGAAACAAGCCTTTGTAATGCAATTTTTCCGATTGCAATCACTACTTCCGATATTGCTTCTTCTGATACTTCAGACATCTTTCTTCGAAATATGTATCTAATTGCCTCACTGAACAACCTTGATAAAGTATCGGGTAGTGTTGCCTCTGCCCTCCATAAAACACACATTAGCAGGAGTAGCATAGGACTCCTTGCTAATTCAGACAGGACATCGGATGATTGAATCCTTTCAAGAAGTCCCCCAACCATGTGACGTTTTTTAGAAAAAAATTTGTTCACATACTCTTCAATATCTTCCATCCTAAAGCCGAGAACATTCACGTGTGTGAAAGGTTTAGTAATGAGTGATTTGCTTGTCAACTTAACAAGGTGGGATGGTCGTGTTGTTACGACTACAAAACATTCTTTGCCAACTTTTCGATTGAGCATTCTTAAAATGGGACCAAATTTCTTTGGTTCGAGTTTAGTTGTCCTAAATTCATCAAAACCGTCTATAAGAATGAGCACTCTACTACCATTGTTTTGAATGAATCCTTTCAAATCACGCTTGTTAACTTTTGTGTCGTCTGATAAAAGTTGATCAAAGACTGACTTAACAAGATGCGAAGTTTGGTCGAGAGCGGACATTTTCAAAACAAACAAAAGTGTGAACGTTTTGAGTGCAATACCTTTTGCCCAATCGTATGCAATTTTGTCAATAATAGTGGACTTGCCCAAGCCAGGTAATCCACACAAAATGACGCGTTTAATCACTTTCCTGTCTTTTTGTATGAGGAAAATGTCCCCGTACTCATTAACATACCCCTCAATGTCATCCTGGTCACCCTTTTCTAATTGCAACTCTGTATATATATCCATAATATGTTTCATGTCGTCATCGACCCAGGGTATTAACTGAACGTAGCTACCTGTGGTGGTATACCGGTCTTCTAATTCACTCCTGCACTGATCAGCAGCATCACTCGGATTGGATTGCGCTCTTCCCGTCTCGGCTGTTAAAAGAAAAGAGGCAACGTTAGGAGTGTATGTCAGCGGCGGCACTTGCAATGGGTTCAAATGGATTCATGATTTTTCTTCCTGTTGATGTTTCTTAAGGGTATTTTATTGGCTTGATATGGTTTTTTTTTGGTAAAATGCAATTGTTCTGGCAACGGGTATACAAAAATGTTATGTCTTGATTTCCCTCTTTCCCGAAAGTGCTCTTAGTGAATATTTTTTCTTCCGATCAGTCAAATTTGCTTGCCAATTAAGCAAAGTGCGAGGGTGGTCTACAAAGAACTAATTTACCGAACTGTGTCTTCTGGCAGAAGATAAAAGGACACTGACTTTTTGATTATCTACTAGCAACTATGTATTGGTATGTATTATACTACAGGCTACACATGCGCATCTCTAAGGAAGAAATTAATGCACCGCCATGATGGATGTTATACAAAGGATCTGTTTAGTCAGTATCTTAGTATGTTAGTAAAAGTAAGTCTTGTTGGATGTAGTTATTGTTGGATGCAGTTATTTGTGTCGTATCCCAGTAGGATCTCGTAGACTGCAGTTTCCTGTGCCCAGTTCGCCTTCAATATACACGTATGTCGAGTTGGTGGTTATGTAACACCAATAATAAACTGGTGGTTCCACATGTAACACCATAAACTAGACAAAAGTGCTATTAATTTAGAGGTCTGCCCGAACCCAAAAATCTTGAATGTAAGATTTTCCTGAAAAATCTTTGCAAATTGGGTCCCTTGTAAAAGCGTGCTGTTTAGGTTAATTCATTAACAGAAATCGTCATGCGAAATTCCGATACAAAAACTGATTTAATAGGATCTCATTCTGCCAATCGAATCACAACTAATTTATTGAGTTCCTCTTGCCACTATTTCATTAGTTTCATTAGTTTTAACACACTCGATAAGGCTGCGTTCCTGTCAAAATCCTTTTGGTACTTTTTCTTCGTGCACCAAAAATTTGTGAAATTTGTATGAAATGGAAGTGTACGATTTGCAAAACTTTCTTCAGTTACTGAGCGTACCTGATGTGCCCCGAACCAAGTCGTTCCTGCCTGAATCAATCAGAGCCTTCTCCAACGTCCGCCATGCTTCCGTGTAATTGTCCTGCTTTCTCCACCATGTGCTTAACATCTCAAAGCACTGCCTTACAACATCGTTGGAGTGATTAGCCCTAATGGTGCCAATGTGTTCTTTTGAACATTTCAAGCATAAGGCCAATTTTTCCCAGTCTGTTGCAATCTTCTCAGATTGTTTCCGGATGGCTCTGTCGTCAGGTCGAGTATCTATCAATGAATAAAATGCAAGTACACCATAAATAAAACGCGTACAGCTTTAGAAGTCATTATTATTGTTAGAATGTATTCTCTTGGAAAGACTGAGATAATCCTGAAAAAACAGGTTGTAACCTTCCAACTGTACTGCAAGAGACATGGAATTTTTATGACGCTATTTGAAATCATCTGACATACTAAATAGTTCAGTTTCATGATGTCTCATTCACGCATATATTTATATTAATGTTAAGGATTTTTACCAGTCTGACACAGAAAAAAATCTTCCTGCCACATTTCAGTCAATGTTTAGGAATCGAGAACAAGTCCACTCGCAGACCGGATACGTTCGCGCGCAAAAGGAACCATGAATTAGCCGTTTGCATCAGCCCAAATAAAGTCGTTACATCTTACTTTACACTTTAGATGAAACGAGCAATACATTTTAACAAAAATGTATACCTAACAGTACAAAGGGAAACAACGAATGAAATTCAGGGGAGAGAACATACAAAATATTGGATTCCGTGTAATTAGTTACCTGATCTGCTTTCTGTATCAGTCACTCCCACAGCCCCTCCCATTTGTACCTCTGGTTGAGAGTCGTCTCGATGACCAATTTCATCCCGTTTCGGTCTCTGGTCCTGAGATAATGAAGCCTCGTTCTGCTTTCTCTGTTCTTTGGCCCCTCCCACTTGTATCTCTGGTTGATGTTTATCTTGATAACTCTCTAATTGCCCATGCCTCGGTCCATGTACTTCCGATGACGTCGTCCCCTTTTGAGCGTTCTTCTCGAATTCCCTCATTTTCAGCTTTGTCTGTTGAAGCTCCTGACTCTGTCTATGTTCCTCATTAGATTGTTTTGTCTGTTTCTGCTTGCCCTGTTCTTGAAAAACTACTCCTTGTTCATGTAGCTGAGGTTTTTCTTGTTCAGCAACTTCCTCCTGTCCCGGTCTAGGTCTCTCAGTTGATGTACTTACTTTCTGCTTGTTCTGTTTTTGAGCCCCCTCCACATCTACCTCCGATTCAGGTTTGTCAAGATTACTTACTTCCTCCTGTCTAGGTTTCAGGTCCCCAGATGATGTAGTCATTTTCTGCTTGCTCTGTTCTTTAGCCTCTGCTGCTTGTACTGATGGTTTGCGTGTGTCTTGATGACCACCTTCCTCCTGCCTCGGTCTCTGGTCCTGAGATAATGAAGCCTCGTTCTGCTTTCTCTGTTTCTTTTCTGTTTTGTTTTCTTTGGCCCCTCCCACTTGTATCTCTGGTTGATGTTTATCTTGATAACTCTCTAATTGCCCATGCCTCGGTCCATGTACTTCCGATGACGTTGTCCCCTTTTGAGCGTTCTTCTCGAATTCCCTCAATTTCAGCTTTGTCTGTTGAAGCTCCTGAATCTGTCTATGTTCCTCATTAGATTGTTTTGTCTGTTTCTGCTTGCCCTGTTCTTGAAAAACTACTCCTTGTTCATGTAGCTGAGGTTTTTCTTGTTCAGCAACTTCCTCCTGTCCCGGTCTAGGTCTCTCAGTTGATGTACTTACTTTCTGCTTGCTTTGTTTTTGAGCTCCCTCCACATCTACCTCCGATTCAGGTTTGTCCTGATTACTTACTTCCTCCTGTCTAGGTTTCAGGTCCTCAGATGATGTAGTCATTTTCTGCTTGCTCTGTTCTTTAGCCTCTGCTGCTTGTACTGATGGTTTGCACGTGTCTCGATGACCACCTTCATCCTGCCTCGGTCTCTGTGCCTGAGATGATTTAGTCCCTTTCTGCGTGCTCCTTTCTTTAGTTGGAGCCACAAGAATCTCTGTTTGAGGTTTTTTTCGTTGACTAACTTCCTTTTGTCCCGTTCTCTGTCCCTCAGATGATGTAATCCCTGTCTTCTTGCTAGTTTTGTCTTGATTACCACAAAACTCCTCCTCATGTCGTCTGTTCTGTCCCTCAAGTGACATATACCCTTTCTGTTTGCTGTGATATTTAACCTTTTCAACTTGTTGCGGTTTATCTCGATAATCATCTAATTGGCCATGCCTCAATCCGCATTCTTTGGATGAAGTCATCTCCTTCTGAGCGTTCTTCTCAAATACCTGTAGTTTCTGCTTTTTCTGTGGAAGCTCGTGACTCGGTGTCCGTTTTTGTTTGACCTGTTTTTTAATAAGTTCTCCTTGTTCGTGTATCTGAGGTTTGTCTTGTTTAGCAAGTCTCTCCTCTCTTGATCTCTTTCCCTCAGGGACTGCAGTCTCTTTCTCATCGCTCCGTTTATTCGCCCCTCCCACTTGAACCTGTTGTTGACGTTTGTCTTGATGACCAACTTTCACCTTTCTCCATCTCTGAACCTCAGATGATGTAGTCGCTCTCTCCTGTACTGATGGTTTGGGTTTCTCTAGGTGACCAACTTCCTCCAGTCTTGGTCTCTGCTCTTCAGATGTTAAAGTCCTTTTCCGCTTTTTCCGTTTTTTAGCCCGTCCCACTTTCATTTCTTGTTCAGGTTCGTCTTGATACCCAACTTCCTCCTGTCTCAATCGCTGTCCCGCAGATATTGAAGTCAATTTCTGCGTGCTCTGTTTTTCAGCCCCTCTCTTTTGTACTGATTGTTTGGGTTTCTCTACATGACCAACTTCCTCCTGTCTCAATCTCTGTTTCTCAGATGTTGAAGTCCCTTTCCGCTCTCTCTGTTCCTTAGTCTCTCTGTCTTGTACTGATGGTTTGGGTTTCTCTAGATGACAAAGTTCCTTCTGGCTTTGTCTCTGTTCCTTAGATGGTGATATGCTTTTCCGCTTTCTCCGTGTTTTAGGCTGTCCCACTTTCATGTCTTGTTCAGGTTTGTCTCCATACCAAACTTTCTCCTGACTTGGTCTCTGTTCCTCAGATGTTGAAGATCGTTTCCGCTTCCTCCTTTTTTTAGCCCATCCCACTTTCATCTCTTGTGCAGGTTTGTCTCGATACCCACATTCCTCCTGTCTCAATTTCTGTTCATCAGATGTTGAAGTCCCTTTCTGCTCTCTCTGTTCTTTAGCCTCTCTCCCTTGTACTAATGGTTTAGATTTCTCTAGATGGCCAACTTTCTCCTGTCTCAATCGCTGTCCCGTAGATATTGAAGTCCATTTCTGCGTGCTCTGTTCTTCAGTCCTTCTCTTTTGTACTGATGGTTTGGGTTTCTCTACAAGACTTACTTCCTCCCGTCTTGGTCTCTGTTCTTCAGATGTTAAGGTCCCTTTTCGCTCTCTCTGTTTCTTCGCCTCTCTTTCTTGTATTGATGGTTTGGCTTTCTCTAGATGACCAAGTTCCTCCTGTCTCGATCTTTGTGCCTTAAATGTTGAAGTCCTTTTCCGCTTTCTTCGTTTTTTAGCCCGTCCAACTGTCACATCTGGCTCAGGTTTGTCTCGATATCCACATTCCTCCTGTCTCAATCTCTGTTCCTCAGATGTTGAAGCCCCTTTCTGCTCTCTCTGTTCTTTGGTCCCTTTCTCTTGTAGTGATGGTTTGGCTTTCTCTAGATGGCCAATTTCCTCCTGTCTCAATCTCCGCTCCTTAGATATTGAATTCATTTTCCGCTTTCTCCTTGTTTTAGCCCGTCCCACTTTCATCTCTTGTTCAGGTTCGTCTCGATACCCAACTGCCTCCTGTCCCTGTCTCTCAGATGATGTAGGCCTACATGCAGTATCTTTCTGCTTAGCCTGTTCTTTAGCCCCTCCCATCTGAACTTCTTGTCCGGATTTGTCTGGATGAAGCTGAAATTGTCCATGCCTCGTTCCGTGTTCTTCAGCTGATGTCATTACATTTTGAACATTCTTTTCAAATTCTTCTAGTTTCTGCTTTTTTTGTGGAAGCTCTTTACTCGGTCTCTGTTTCTCAATAGATTGCCATGTTCGTTTCTGCTTGCCCTGTTCTTTCACAAATACCCCTTGTTCAGGTATCTGAGGTTTGTCCTGTTCAGTAATTTCCTTCTGTCTTGGTCTCTGTCCACAGGATGTAGGCCCTTTCTGCATGTTCTGTTTCTTAACACCCTCCATTTGCCCCATTGTGTTAGGATTGACTAGATGACCAACTTCCTCCTGACGCGGTCTCTGACCCTCTGATGATGTAGTGCCTTTCTGTTTGTCTTGTTCTTTAGTCCCTCCTGTTTGTATTGATGTTCTGGCTTTCTCTTGGTTAACAATTTCTTCCTGTTTCATCCTCTGTCGCATATCTGATGGAATCATAAAAGCCAGCTCTTCACGCCCGATTGAATTTAACGCGTCTCTCAAACTTTGAAATCCTTCCTCGCGATTTGTTTGCTTTCTCCACCAAGAAAGCAGCATCTGAAGGCTCCTTTCTTTGTCGTTTTGAAAGGTGGTTTGGATTTCCTTGATTTCTGCTTCTTCATATCCCAGGGATTTGGCCAACTTATTCCAGCATGATTCGGTTTTTGAAGCCAAATCCCGGAAGAACGGATCATCAGCAAAATGTTTGCCTGCCAAACAAAAAGAAACCTTTTCGTAAGGACAAAAGTACAATGCATTTATCATTTTATTTATTATTTCACTTTCATTGAGTTGTCTATCTTTTTGGGAGGCAAATGCAGGGTAAGGTGAGACATTACAGCAGAGGAGGTGGCACATTAAGTTAGATCGCTCTTTTTCACATTAAGTTAGATCGGTTTTTGCACCTGTGCTCCTCATAATGCAAAACCCCCTTCCCCCCCCTAAAAAAGAAGAGGCTACAGGGTCAATCATGTTCTCATCATTGCACTTTCTAGGATACATTTTCAAATGCAGTTGCTTATGCCTTTCCCCCCGTGACTTACAGAGGAGGATGCGGTATCTCCGGCCCGTGAAGGTAAAAAGCCCGCAGGTTGTTCCCCATCTAGAAAGATACTGTACATGTTTTCCATGAGCATTTACCTTTTAGTCCACCGCCCAGGAGGCCATCGGTACACAGACGAAGTGAGATGTTCTCGTCCTGTTGAATTCCATAGTCGTGAAGTGTCAGCAAGTTACAGAGCTGTAAAACAATTTTTAATATCCTGATTTAACACACTCTTTGGAACCATTTTCATCATGAGACTAAATCGGTAGTGCTAAAACCAGCAAACTTTAGTGCTAAAACACCATTACACTGACATCAGAGGTAGCACTATTTAACATACACGAATGATGTATCAGAAGAGGTTATCACTAAAACCCACAATGCATGGCCTTTAATTCGATGGATTGTAATGGTCTTTTCGTTATGGGTACTTTTAAAATATGAAGCCAACCTTACCTCTAAATTACGAAATTTTCTTCGAATGAACAGTCTCTGTAGTTGAGACTGGACACCGAGTTTCTCCTGTATTTCCTGTTTCAAGGATGAGACAGATGTCTGTTGATCCGTTTGTAAACAAAGCGTAGTTGGTTTTTGCAGGAGGTGACTTCGAATGAAGACCTGCAGTGCCACATATCTGAAACTGTTAGAATGGAGGTTTTGCATTTTAAAGGCTTTTAAATATTTTTTTAAAAATTAAATCCATGAATTAGTCTTAAAACGTTCTCTATTAACACAAATTTTAAAGTGACGAAAGATGATTGTTTTCAAACGGAGTACAGTTTTACACAATGCAAATATTGATGAGTTTTATTGGCTTAGGTAATTGAAACACGAAGTGCATTACGAACAGGAGCGTTTAATCGTGTTTTACCTGATAAGCCGAGGTTTGTCTTGATCACCAACTTGTTCCTTCTTCAATTTCCCCTCCTCGGTTGATGCCGTCCCGCTCTGTTTGCTCTCCTCGTCAACTCCTGCATCTTGACGCCTTTCAGGCTCAGGTCCAACTGTCTCGTCTCTCGATTCGCTAGTTGCTGATGTAAGGAGGAAAACAGATTGTTTTAAACTATCTCTTATGTTTTGAAATTTACGTTCTAAATAAACAGTTTTTTTTATCAATCAGGGAGATTTTAATCGCTTATTTGTTAAAGAGTTCGGTAAAACAGCGGGGTACCACGTATTTTTTCTCTCCCACAATTATAGCGTCTAGTGTAAAGTTTAGTCTAAAATTACTCCTGAGTATAAGAAATTTGCTCGTTCGCATTTTAGCTCACCTGGTACATTTTGTGCCAAATCAGTCAACCCGATGACCTCCAATGCTCGTCTCAGCTTCTGAGCTGCTTCGTCGCGATCTGTCGTCTTTTCCCACCAAGTACGTAGCATGTTACGGCTCTCTTCAATGCTGCCTTCGTTGGTGGTTTGGATGTCTGCAATGTCCGCTTCTTCATATCCTAGGTGTTTGGCCACTTCCTTCCACGACGATTCAATTTTCGAGGACAAGTTCTTGAGGTACTCATCATTAATAATGCTTTTATCTGCCAAAAGGAATTTCAACTTGGCCTTCATTGAAACATTTCTTTGCGCGCCAAAGTCCGTATTGTTACCAACGTAAGCTTATTAACTACATCCACAACAAAAAGATACATTTTTTCTATATCCACGGCTCAACTAAAGAAAGCAAAATCACCGTAGGAGGTAGTTTATGCAGTTGTCATTTACCTTTTGGTACATCGTCGCAAGTCTGATCGTCTTTTGATAGTCGAAGAGAGATGATTTCATCATTGTTGACTCCATTCTCTTCAAGTGTGAGTAGGTCACAGAGCTAACATAAAAATAAGTTACAAATATAACTACGTTACAAAATATTTACGGAATTTATGGATTGTTTTGTATTCGTTTAAACGACTATCAAATTTACCTTCGTTTTGACCATGTTTGGTTTAGATAACTTGTGATTTACCTCTTATACAGTATACATAAATAGACAGTTATGTTAATCATGAACATTATTTTGAAGTTTTTGTACCCTGCATATATCCATTTTAACAATAGCCCTACGCGCAAATCTAATGTAGGCGTCCGTATATTGTAAATTGAAACATACCGACCTGAAAGTTCCGCCGGATGTACAGACGCTGACGCCGCGCCTCAAGACCAATCTGCTTTTCTATGAGCTCTTTTAGCGATTGAACGGATGTTCCTAGATCAAGTTGGAAGCTAAGTCTCTGAGGTGCATCATCGTTGGCATTTTCGGGAGTCTTGACGGAGAATTTGAGCTTCTGTTTCAGATTATTGATGACACTGTAATAAAAAAGGATCGTACAATATGTTTTTTTCTCTTTGGTAAATGTTTCAATTGAGATCCAGCAAAATACACTGAAAGTATTCGTTTTGGGGTCATCTTTGGTCGGTACAGTGATTGATTTTAAAAGACATTACTTTTGAAATGAAGACATAAACATCGACTCATTTGATGTGGCAATACACTTTCTATTTTCGGTCTAACGTAAAAGTTGAGAGAAACGTTGCCACGCCCAACCTTTCCTAGAAACTGTTGAATCATCCAATAAATGATGGGGTCGAGTAAAGTTTCAACAATATAGGTATATTGAATGAGTTTAATACACCTACTGGATTTGTTCAGCATTGCTTTAATATCCTCAGCCTCGATAACTGGTATTTAATACTAGGGGTGAATTTGAAGCAGAAGAAAACTTTGTAGCTGGTCGACATGGGGCTCAGTAGTATCCTAGTATACCATTTATAGTCCCGGATCCAGAACCCAAAAAATGAGTTAACCCTTCACAATTTCCTCCCCACAATATTTTTACATTTTTTAATGCAGTAAGACCTGCTGATTCAGAATCTGGACGGTGGATTCAAATTTGACCCGGCGAAAACGCATTTTTAGGTCAAAATCCAATATGGCCGCCATTTTCTCCAATTTTTTTTAAAATAAATTCATCAATAATCGACCAATTGAAGCCAAATTTTGCTCAGAATGTGACTCGCGGTAGATAATCATGTGTACAAAATTCAGAATTTTAGTAAAATCCAATATAGCGGCCATTTTTGCCCCCCCCCCCCTCCCTTAAAAAACGAGCAAAAAGAACACTTGCGGTTATAGTCCAAGACCCAGGGGTCCTTTACGTTTTCGGGAATGACCAAGTGTTTGGTGGGTATGTTGGGAAACACCTTGGATACACCATGGGGAATTCGAAGTGGCTAGTCTTATGGTCACCTGGTGGTGGACCTGGTTACCAGGAGCAGATATGTGACGTCACACAAGGAAATACAAAATATGGCCAATGTGCATTACTGAGAAGATTATGTGCCATGTTTGAGATTTAATTCCATTTCAAAGGAGTTCATGTCAATATGAGCATTTAGAATAGATGTCCAAGTAATTTGAATAGGATGGGTCTTTTTGACTCCAAGGACCATTTGATAATGCTACATGTAGTTTAGGTTTTTGTTGCCTAGCAACCACATCCTCCTTAGCAACGTCCATTTGGTGCCTGATTAACTTACTAAAAACGAACCTACAATGGGAATGACAAAGTATTTGGGGTTATTTATGAAAAGTTACACCTTGGGGTATTCGAATTGGCTAGTCTTACAGTAGTCTGGTGGTGTACCTGGATACCAGGGGCAGATATGCGACTCACGCAAGAATTAGATGAAAATTACGGCTGATGCACAACATTAAGAACGCAAGCTATGTTAAAGATTACTTACTTTTAAATGAATTCAGATCAACGGATTAACATTTAGAAGCAATGTGTAATTTGGATAATTTGGATAGAATATAAGACACCAAGGATCATTTAATCATATTTGTTTAAATGTTTGTTGCCTAGCAACCGCATCCTCCTTAGCAACAACCCTTTGGAGCCTGATTAACTTACTGAAAATGAATCTACAACGAAAATGACCAAGTAATTGTTGGTATTTCTTGTCCCAAAAAGGTAACCTTTCGGGATATTGAAATGGGTAGGTCTTACGGTTACCTGGTGGTGGACCTTGATGCCAGAAGTAATTACGTGACGTCACACAAGCAAATGAAAAAAATATGGCCTATGCGCAGCATTGTGAAAACTGCCCATGTTCAAGAATAATTTCCTTAATGAGTTCACATAAATAAAAGAACCCAAAAAGAGGAGATCTTTGGGTAATTTCAATAAGGTAGCCTATCTCCAGGACTATGTGATCATAATAATAATTATGTTCGTTGCCT